GCTGCCGGCTGTTCCTTCGGCTGGCCCTGGAAGCGGAGGATTCCTCCGTTTCCAGGACCGTCCTGAGGAACAGCCGAGGCCGCGGCTATAAGGAGGCCTCCTTCCAGCCGCGGCCTTTCGCCAAGGCGCCTTTTGTAAGTCGAAAAATTGGTAAGAAGAAGTATTAGTAAGTAGAGGTACGACTGTATTTGGTTAAGAATCTTTTTTCCTAGATTTTCCTCCTTTAAAATTGGGTGTGTCTTATATGCCAGAGCGTCTTATATAGCGAAAAATACGGGTACTAACATATTGCCAAAGACAGAACTGTGGCTTCCAATTTGCCTGGCAATGGTTATATCAATCATTAATCATATTAATCAAAGCAATATATATTCCATCTTGCTATTCAGAAATTAGTCATATATTTTAAAAATTAATGAAACTTTAGTCAAATGTCTAAAAATAAAACAATTCTCATTTCTCAAAAAGCTAAGATTATTGCGGAGCCCCACTCATTTTCATATAATCTGTTAATAATGTCCATTCTTTTAAAAATCATCCACAGATTTATCATGCATTAAAATTGTAAGCTTGTCCATTTCTGTAAATTCATACAGTTTCATCAACCAGTCTTCTTGAAGTGGTTTTTTTTTCCCTGTGCATAAATCATTTTCACAGCAGTTAACATGTACTGCATAACTCTTCTATGCTTTTTTCTGCTGATCATCCAGTATTCCTAACAAAAATAATTCTGATTTCTGTTTAAATTTAATTCTCAAAATATCATCCATCACTGTATGAATTTGAATGCAGAACTATTTAGCTTTGTCACAGATTGTCAGGATCATGCAGCTTGCCTGCTATGGTTTGAAATATTAATCCAGAAGGATATAGTTTTATTTGCTTGTTACTGGTGTTAATGGGTTATACAGTACTGCAGGAAGTGATGGGACATAGAGTGTGGTGTTTATTGCAAGAGCCTGTTTATCACATTCATTTGTGATTAAGGAGCAGACAGAAAAGGAACTGAGCTTGTCTGAAAAAAACCAGGAGGTGTTCCCACTCTCCTGGGAACACTGGCAGTGGAAGAAACAGGGGAGGCATTTCATGGGAACAGAAAAGGAAAATAATGCTTTGCTTTTGTAATTAATGAAAAGGTAGCCTGAAAAAGATTTGAAATTGTATGTGCTTTAATTATGCTTTGCTAATGCTTGCCATTTCACTCTTACAACAACCATCTCTGGTATACACTTCTAGCTGCTGAATAAAAGTTTCCTGAGTTTTACCCCTGAAGCCTGGATTTCTAAAATAAGGGGTTATCAGACTTGACACTGGTCCACCACCTATAATAAAAGCTTCCTTCCTTCTTCTCACATTTCCACCACAAATTAGAAGAACTCTTATATATCTAAGGCTGCATCTGCACTGCAGAAATAATCCAGGTTGACATCACTTTAATTGCTATGGCTCAATGCTAGGGAATTCTGGGATTTGGCACCAGAGTTCTCAGACACAAAACTACAATTCCAAGAACTCCACAGCACTGAGCCATGGCAGTTAATGTGGTGTCAAACTGTATTATTTCTGCAATGCAGATATAGCCTTAGGAATTCCTTCTGGGATTAGGTACCAACAATATATCATCTTATAAACTTCTCTAAGAACATAATTTACAGTAAATGTTGGTCCTTTCTCCCACATCTTCTCCCATTGTTTGATTTTTATGTTATAACTTATATTTCTTCCCATTTAACCATACATTCTTTCAATAACAATTTATACATCTTAGATATCAATTTATCATCATTTGAGCACAGCAGTTCTTCAAATTTGGACTTGAATACATTAAAGCCCAATAATCTCGTGTCCATTTTAAATCTGTCCATCAGTTGTCTACAAAAAAAAAACCAATGAGTGTTGATACTTTGTACACCCAGTTCTTCAATTTTTTCAAGGTAATTTGATCTTTTTCACATTTCAAAAGGTCAGCATATATCAAGCATTTTTTGTCAAATTTACTTTCTCTGACAGTGAAACCCATGATAGTATTTTAGAATGAATTCTAGAGCTATATTTTGTCCATATTTTCAGCATTTTCTAATATAATTTTATTTTTATAATGATTATTAAAATCAACATTAGCTTTAATTTAATCATACAGTACTACAGAAAAGCATGCCATCCAAATCTTAAATCAAATCCTTTTAATTGTAAAAGTCTCTTTTTCTCAAGTTATCCAGTCTTTCATCCACACTAAACCACAAGCATGAAAATAGAGCTTCAAATCAAGAAGTCCTAAACCTCCTCTATGTCTTTCATCTTGCAATGTTTTGTATCTAATTCTAGGCATCTTCCCTTCCCAAATAAATTGTGAAATGTCTCTTTGCTATTGCTTGAATGGGACATCATTCATAAGAACTTATTGTTTGAAACAGAAACAACATTTTTTGGTAAAACATTCATGTGTATAACTGATGGTCTTCCAAGCAGTAATAACAACAATGCCCCACCCAACTTCAAAAACAATAATGTAAGAAATAAC